ACTTTCGATTCCGATATTAACAGAGGTTTTGACTAGTACAGGAACATGGGTTATAGGTGGCTGCGCTGACAAACGTTTGTCTTGGGGACGTAACTCTGTGTAAGAAAAAGGGATAAGAATGCATAGACTCCTTTAGTAACGAAGAATCACAGCCTTCAGAAACACAACAGGCAAACTATGGACGAAACCTAAGTTGGGAAGGTGCTGGAAGATTCCCCCGTAGACACGACACTCAGAGAAGCCCAAGCTTTTGCAAAATCCAGGCCCGTTTGGCACCTTTCATGGTTGCCCCATTCTTTTTGAGATATGCTTTGGTAAATGGGAGGCCTTTGCAATCAGGACGCCCGGCGTGTTCCAGCCACGACAATGGTGTCCCGTACATATCGTCGAGAGCATTGACTTGGGCTCCATTTTCTACCAGAATTCTCGTTGCGTTGTAAGAGCCATACTCAGCAGCCCAGGAAAGAGGGGTACGTTTGTTTTGATCGCGATCGTCAATTGGCGCACCAATATCCAGAAGTCGTAAAAGAAGCTCAGTACAGTCCCCCATAGCGGCGTAATGAATCAGAGACCTCTTGAAAGGGCCCCTTGGGTTGCATATGCCCCGGGATTGGACCGACTTCTGAGTTGCTTCGAGGAAAGCCATGATGTTCTCGTCCAGCGCATTCATCTGGATATTTTTGAGGCGCTTGAATTCACCATCCATGGTTGTGGTGGATTGAGAGGACATGGTCTTTAGAAACTTCGAAAAAGCCAAAGGTCAGGGTCGCGAGAGCCCGTGACCAAGCTGGGGGATCATAGGCTATATAGTAATGGTGGGCGAGGATGTCCCATGTCTCCCAAAGTATAAAATATGAATATGCTTTCTGCTATATATGTGCTTTTCGGCGGGTTCTATTTCATTTTAGTGATGCAGGATGCTACTTGGAAGCACAGGAGTAAAGTTCAAGGGCATTCTGTTGTATCAGTATGTGTTTCATGGCCTCGACAAAGTGCGGCTGCCGGCCGCAACATACAGTATGCAGCGGATTTGGGTTGAAGAGACGAAAAGGCTAACAAAAAGCCAGAGGCAACTCACCCGCACCGTGTTGTATTGCCTCAGAAACATGAATTGGATCGTTCAACACAGCGTGTTGTGGGGACCAAGGCTGGGCCGACTTCCGGAACAAGACCGCCGACCACACACGCGGCCTGATACGCCTCGTAATTGGATACATGGGTCCTCGGTTATGAATAGCATAGATCTATCAGAATGGACAAAGACCAAGGTCGGAATCTATGGTTGTGCATTTAGCGCCCCACGTTATCCTAGACGCGGGACATCACTTCGAAAATGGCCTGCTACGCCACAAGTGTCAAAGTGCATATCCAGTCCTCACTTCTTCAGCCACGACGACACGCCATAAAGCTGTAACAAGCCATTTTCCTTCGGCCGGGTTGTGAGGTGTAATCTGGTGAGATGTTGAAAGGAAGTACCTCAGAACTCCGGAGCTCATCAGTTCTGGAAAGGTCGCCCGCATGTTCTAACCCTAGATACGTCAGGGTTATTGTGCAAGCATCAAGTTGTCTTAGCTGGCCTAAACTGATCTAACCGATTCCTGACCGCATAGTGAGCCTCAATAACCGACCATACTTGCCAAAGTGTTAATCTCCTATGCACCTCAACTTTGGTCAGCCGACTGACATTTATAATTCAATATGTGCCCCCTACAGGCTATCTGAAGGCTCTCAGAAATCTCGGTAATTCTATAAAAGTCTCTGTCATCCTTCCTCGTTTAGCTCGACTACACACAACGCCGAATCAATCGGTTAAGAAATACAGGACACGAGACGCAACACACAATATATTTTCGAATTTTAAGCTCCTGTAATTCGTCTAAGACAAGGAAAATGCGTTTCTCCATCGTTATGATTCTCGCCAGTGCCTATGCAAGCGGATCCCTCGGCGGCACCCTGGAGATCATTGATATTGATGGTCAATGCGCGATATGGTCCTATGACAACCATGGCTGCACGGGATCTTCAGCATTCTTTGGCCAGCTTGAGGGAGAAAAATGCTCAAGTAAGTGGACTTCTGGCATAAGAGTCAGCAAAAAGAGTTACTAACAAACTCGCAGCGGTGAACGAAGTCGGAGACCGTACCCATCGCTACCCTGTGCACGGGGTGGAGGCTTGTGGCACGGAAGACAATTCGTCAGCTGCATGGATTCAGGTGAAGGATACGGGGGTGGTCACCTTCTCCAATCACCAGGGAGAAATGTCGTCATGTACATTAGACAACGGACTCAAGCATGGCAGCCGATGTATTGCTTCTGACTCGGGATCTTCCACCAAGGCGTCCTCCGCTTTGACGACACCGAAGTCTTCGTCATCAGTGTCGGAGTCATCCTTGACTACCTCCCAGACCGCACCTTCTTCTGATTGTTCCGCGGATTGAGGAAATATGAAGAACAAGTGCAACTCTCGGGATGTACCAAACATACCCTTCACTACTTTGCAGGTGCATGGAATTTTTGGCTTTCTATTATTTATGTTTTTCAATGTCTGGTTTCATTTCCTTTTTGAACATTATATGTATTGAGGGCAAATTAGACGGAGACGTGGACAGCAATGCATTGAGTTAGACTGGATGGGTGTTCTGATAGATTTATGCTGATTCATAGGTTGTGATTTGATTCTGCATTTTGTCCTTTAGGTTCAGTTGGGAGAGGGGTAATAGCTTGTGCTGTAGCTATGCTTTGCTTTCCAATTTGGGCGCTTCTCTTGAAGACTTCCATCGATATGATAGTATTCGAGACCTTGTCCCAATCCGACGAAAAGCAAATAAGGGACTTCCCATTTTCGGAAATTTGGGCCATGGTGATTGAATATGCCCTTTGATGTTGCAGGTTAGTTTGTGCGTTATATTGTCGTCCCAGGGATTGAACATACATATAATATGACGCTTCTTGAATTTTCCGACGGTCTTCGAGCTCGACGACAAACAGCTCGCCAATCACGGGAGCACGGGTAATGCAAATACCAATGACAGGTTCAAGAGGTATCTTGTTACCTTGAGAATCTGCCAGAATCAGTTCCGAATTCGCATGGTTTGCTTGGAGCGATTGCCTGCTTGTCCTAGCGCATTGTTTAGTCTTTCAATTTCCTTTCTTATCACTTGGACCGAGGAATCACATACAACAGATCGCCCTGTTGGGAGTAAGAAGCTATGTCGATGGAGAAACCGTGCTTGAGATTTGCAAGTTGGGGTTGGGTTGTATGCAACTCCCTGCAGTGGTATTCGACGTCTAGCACCCGCACGTAAAGTGGGTTTACGAGTGCAGCCTTGCTACTAACATCGACGGGCGTGGCGTAAGTTCTTGCTCCGGTATTTTTCCGGAAGCCAACATATCCCGGACGACCGCTACGGAACGTGCTATGACTCGTGGATTGCTGATTCCGCAGTGCAAATATTTTTATCGGCAGGGACTCTCGCAGGGCGGTCTTTGGGCCGATGGCTCGGTTTTGGCGCCCTAACAAGGAGTCATCAGCAAGCTGGTAACGATTTCTCAGTTCTGGACCGTACTCAAGATCTCTTGAGAGTTGTTAGATTGAGGGTCCCCAATTGTGAATAACCGGTCGACTATTGTGAAACAATTTGTTGTATAAAGCTCCCCGCTAACTTTGTCGAGTACTCTCGCAAGGTCCTGGTGGTCGTAGTTTCTCATAACGCATGCTAGGACTTCGGATTTCTCTGGACATACATTAGTATTAGTGTTAAAAAGAGTGCACGACGTAAGACTGACCGGATTCTTGCATACCTGAGGCGTCTTTGAAGCCCCATTCAACGCTAGTGGGCCACCACCTAGGTTCCTCTTCCAGTCTCGATTTCACAGCAGCCAAAACCTCGTCATTAATAAAATTCCAATCAACGGCGCTTGGCCACCAATGTGGTTTGTTTTCCAATCTCAGTTTCGCAGTCGCCAGAAAGTGGTTGTAGAGCACTTCTCTATCGTTAGGGCAGAGTGCTTGGAACTCTCCATAATATTGGTCGGCGTAAGTTGGAACCGAAAAGTCGACCTTTGCGTCCATTGTGTTATTCATGGATGGGTAAAGTTTGAACGTCCAAATAGTAGGAGGGCAAGGGATTGTTTTAAACACAAGAGCAACAGATCAATCGTAGGGAAAAGTCACTGCCCTGACCTAGCTGCCGAGCGAGCTTGGAGGGCATGAAAGCTGGACCATTCCTATTTGGAGAGCCGCTAGGGGCCTGAATCCCTGTTTGGGTTTCGCAGGCATAAGCAACCTATAATCAAATTGAAGGCTTCCGACTGCAATGCGGTGAATCCAATTTTTCTTGGTTCGGTTTATCGCACTTGGCTGCTAGTAATGGAGCCGTTTACCGGATTGAGAATTTTCCCCCTGCATCAACTCCTTCCTTACGAAGACTCCGGGTCCACGTATCATGGAGCCGATAATTCCATGAATTTTGATCTCAAATGCCTACTGTCAAGGCTGACTACGTTGTTTGAATCGCACCCACATGGCGCCTTGTTTACATTCCTCGTAATTATATTGAAGACTAACGCCTGGCGGGGCCCCTCACAAAAAGCGTGGCAGCTCCTAGGATGAGTTCGGCCGATTCCAACATAAATTACATTAACTGTGTCGTAAATGGAACAGGAGTCACAGCTTCGGAACTAGATTGCAAGCAGGTCTCGCCAACCCATGGGTGTTGGAAGCCTTGGAAGGGCGGCGCCATCCTGGCCGATAGGCTGTAGCCCTCCTGAGCCGGGAAGTGTCAGTGTTCTGTGTGTACGTCTAGCCCGAAACCTCGAAATTGTCTTAACCAATACACGTCCGGCAATTGTTTACTAGCCCCACCGCCAAGGCCTTAGCGCGACTCACTCGCGTCACATCCAATGGAATAGCTCTTACGGGGCCAAAGAACAACATCAAGCGTGTATAGGTCAATACCCCAAAGATATCGTAACGTCATCGGGTCTATCTTTGAGTTGGTTATGACGGAGAGCGAGTATTACGAGCTAGCCGACCCCTTGTTGAGTGGACTCACCGCCACGGAAATCTCTTTAATAGCGCACCTGCTCGGAGTCACAGAACAATTCCTCTACGCCAGCAGATATCTGAATCCGCTCAGGGAGCAGGACCCTTTCATGGTCTACTTTGAGCCACTGATCAAGAAGGGACTGCAAGTCTTAATTCTTGGTAGCGATATTCTGGATTTAATGGAGAGAATCCAGCGTCCGGCGACGTACTGGGGCAGTCGAATTGCGGAGGTAGAGACCAATGGCGGACTCATACATACGCCTGAAATTTGGATCGTGGCAATACGCCCCAACCAGCCCACGTACGAAGCGCCAACAGAGCTCGCGGCATCTGAAGAGCCATTTGACGCCTTAGTCCAGCCTGTGGAGAGCAAATACATGTACAGAGACCCCGATACGAGCATGCTGGTGATGTGGTTAAAGGGTACGGGCGTATACTGGACTACGCGCGGGCGTCAAAAAACCATGACGGATTAAGACCACACCAACTATCGTCCAAAATAAAACATGTTTCAAGCATCATCACATAGACCTCTCAGGAGTACCTCAGAATGGAAATTTCCAATGTGTAGGTCCTTATACAACCAATTGAATAGTTTCCAGTTTGGATCATCCATATGGAACTAAACGATGTCGGGCATAATACCTTGTCGATGCATCGTCGTCAATGTCGAAAGCCTGGCGGCCCCATACAAAATACCATTCGGGAACGAGAATCCTTCCCATGACCAACTGGAAGGATTTCAAGGGCAAAAGTGAAAGTTCATTCCATTATGTACGCATGTACTGTAAATGGCTATTCTGACAGGTTTCAAAAAAAGCCACGTCATCATAAGTCAAATAGCCTCGAAGGACAACAAACCACGCATGGAGTTTCAGTCTGGCGTAATCGCCCCTCGTACCGGCGGCTAGAGTCATAAATTGATTGGATAGAGGTATTAACATGGATCAGCGGGTGTCGGGCAGGACCTTTGACGCAGGGTCGGCAAGTGAACACTGACTCACTTCAGCCAGATGTTCATGCCGGGCCTCCCATTAAGACGAATCGCCTCACAGCTCACGACAAGCACTGAAACAAGACTTAAAAAGTTGGTGTGTTGGGTATCCTGGGCGGCGCTTAGACTCATTATGTATCAGTAATTCTTTCCACTTCAGCGGTATTTAAAGTCAAGCAAACATCCCAGGGAAACCCATCTCTTTCTCTTTCAGTTGCTGGGAACATTTTCATCCATCAAGCAATCAGTCCACCAGAAAGGGTAGGATCTATGCACATGCCGTTGATTCAAGATACTCTGCTAACATATTTTTGTGCGACCAGACGTTTTGGATACCATTGCAAAAATGTCTGGAGCTCTCAAAAAATTCGGCGACAGAGTCATCAATGACCCGAAACAAGTGGCAAAGCTTTTCAAAGAAGCAACTCCGGGTAGTCGGCTTCTACCATCACGAACTCCTAAGAATGATGCAGAATATCAATGTCGTATTGACGTGGGCGAAGAAATCAAAGACAAGCCAGGTCACTACAACGTCTACCTTCAAGTCAATAGCCAGGCACAGAGCGAGGGCCTCAAAGGCTGGCTAAAGAAGAACCCTCACGGAAATCTTGCAACGGGACAAATCAATCGGAAAGCTACAGACAAAGAACGACCAGAAGAAGGCAAGCGTGTCATGTCGGAATTGATTGAGCAAGCGAAAAAAAATCTTTGAACCCGGATCAGGCCTGTTGTGGTGGAAAAGGCCAGTTCTTCGCGGCTGCTTGAGGCGTGAGCTCTTCGCTCATTGCTTCGATATACATATTGTAGAGTTCCTTATTTGCCTTTCCTGTCGCTTCCCATCGGTTATTTGGAACCCAGCCGGCATCATCGGTGAAAAGCTGGTTCTTCACGAGATCACACAAATAAAGCCTGTCCTCGTATTTCAATTTTTGTTCATCGTGCTTTCGAAGTTCATTTTCTGATATCAGGAAGGGGCAGCTGCCCGGGAGCCCCAGCAAAGACCAGTCCTGGGATAAACGAATCAAACAATGGCGTAGGGGAACCAAGCTACCCTGGGAGAATAGCTGGCAGTAAGTGAAGGGCTCCCACAGCCTGGAGTCAAGTTTCATAGCATTGTAAACGCGCTGGTTTTGTGCAAGGCTGGACATCTCGTAATATTTTGACCTCGAAGCCAACTCCTTCTCGTTGACAGCCTGTTCCTTTTGCTCAGGACTTAGGTCGTCGAAACCGTCCGGTAAGTCGGGTAAGTCGGGACCAAAAGTGTAGCTCTTGGGTGGCGTAAGAAACTCGGGGAATCGAGCTTGTATGAATAAAGGACAGATCTGAGACGATTGCCAATCGATAATCCCTTCAATAATGCTAGGCTCATTCGGTGAAACAAAGATATTTCCCAGATGTAAGTCAGTATGCCACAAAGCAGGGTCTGAAGCACCTGTCACGCGTGGGTCATGAGACAAAATTGGTAGTACCATGTTCACTTTTTCCAGAAGGCTTTCATATTCATCGATCGACTGGGATCCGTCAAAATTATGTAGTTGACGTTGCACCTCAGCTCCTGAACCTGCAATATGAGCAAGCTCTCGCTTGACAATAGACAACGCATATTCTGAAAAGCGGGCCCCTACGATATATCAGTACAACTCGTCGAATATCAGTAGGATAGCACCGGTGTAGGAATACCCACAAGGACCCATATCTTTTGACGCCGATTGAGATATGTCGACGAAACTTCCGTGCCACCAGGTTCTTTTACAAGATGGTCCAATGCAAAATAGCCCTTCCGGATCTAGCTCTGGAGGGAGCAGATATTGTCGACACGTAGCAGGTAACGAGTCACGGAGGAAAAGACTGCCGTATGCTGGAAATGAGATATTACCAAGCTCCTTCTCAATTTGTACAACTTGATCGATTATTTTGTAGCGCTCCAAGTTGTTCATTGCCTCCCATGTCTCTGACAAGGCAACTCCCCTAATCTTTTCCATAATTATAAACTCCGCGCCGACCGAATTGGCAGCGTTAGAGCTCCAAGAAAAGATTTTCGGAACCCGAATAGACGTACTTGACTGCACTAGAAAAGGAAGGTATAAGCTACACGTCAAAACAACTTATGAGCGTAAGCACACAATACATACAAAACTTCAGAGTGGCAACCTCAGAAGCCGTTGTCAACGAGGGCGGACCGGCATTTGGACACGGAATCTTTGCTATGACTTCGTTTCCATCGTCCATGGTAAGAAGTAAAGCTTTGTTGAAGCTTCCTTCCAGCTTGACAACGCGAACACACTTTGTTGCATCGCTGAAATGTGCTGCAGCTAGGCGACAAAGACTGTCGAGATCAAATTTCACATAACGTAGCTGCTGTTGGGCCTTTTCGTCAACGAGCCATCGACCTGACGTGTATCGAAAGAGATCTTCCGACTTCCCTGCATCGAACTCAAACGTCGCATTAGCTATCTGATCATCTACCGGCTAAATGGAGACACAGAAAACATCATATGGCACACCTGTGTGGTTCAGGGCAATAGATTCTTTCATCGACATTGTTCGAGAGGGAGCTCGGTTCGGGCGCACAAACGCCGCACTAGAGATGCAACGAATAGCAGCTGGAAGACTGCAAGACGGAAACTTTGCAGGCAGGGGTCGAGATACCAATCGAAATGAATATTGAGATGATAGCTGCCTCCACATAGTAAGAACAAAGCTTTGACTGGTGCAAGGGGCCAAGAGTGAGAATCACGAAATGGCTAATGCGATTGAAACGGTGAATCACGGGATCACAAGGGGATGAAGTGGCCTGACGTGGCTGAGGTGGGTCAACATGTTCGCACGTGATCATGATAAACATAGCCACACTGTCAAGCCAGAAATATCTCCGAGAAATATTTCTAGTGATTATTTGAATGAAACATGCTGGATTCTGGCTCATAAGCGTCTTATCATCTTCAGAAGGCACTTGTGGCTGATTGGCCGACGTGAAAGGGTATACTGGCTAAAGACGCAAGATTCCTAAGAATTCTAGGAGCCCCCGGTTACAGGTGTAACCGCGCGGCAAGTCTAGACTGAGAAACAGGTCGTGTAGCTGCTTACCGAAGTAACAGCAATTCAGTGTGAAATATCAGCCCCATTTAACCACTTCTTAGAGTTCCTGCGGCGGGCATAGAACCAAGTCTTCGGTAAAGGCGTCGGGCCCCAAGAGAGACCCCAAATTTGCTTGGGTTAGGGTCGCCTCATCGGATATCATGATTAATAGCGGACGTTCAACGCAGCCAAAACACACGACCTACAGCTGCAAGTCTTCGAGTCGAACCACAGCTCGCTGTACTGCTCTTCTTGTGTTTTGCAGATATGATACATAGATGATAGTTGACTAGAAGAAGGAAGCATCCGCGTTCACACTATTTCAGAACTGTGCCTCGGGCCAACCAAAGGCGTCACCGACTATTGAAAAATCATGATATCACTCCCCTTCTCTCGAAGCTCCGCAGTTCTCTTCCACATCTAGAGCGACCACCGGCGTTGCCGTAGTCCATCCTGAGATGTGACTTTGAACTGCTATGGAGTATTCGCAGCCGCTGGAAGTAGTAGCGGGTAATTCCAGGAAACAATGGATTGTTAAATAGTGGACAAGGCGCATGCTCATGTTACAAGTGTGTGTTCGAATTTAGAGGCGGGTGTTTTGCCTGCCGTTCAAGGCTAGCCGTGTCTCGTCTGGCGCTACTAAATGCTGTAGACAATTCTGTTAGCCTTATGTTCCTGGGAAGCTTGGAAAACAGAAGAGAAGGGCCAGTGCTGATGGAAGACGCGCTCACCTCCAAGTTGATGTCCTGGGTCCGCTTTGAAATTTCTCCTCCCCCGCCGCAATCCGGACACATGATCCCCTTGATAACACCTTTGCCGCCGCATGTTGAACACTGGGACATCTTAACTCTCGATCAATTTGAAATGGAGAAGATTGAGATGTGATCTGTCCGTCGTGATAGATATGACACAAAATGACAGCGTTTGCGCGGAATGAATTTATTCAGGAACGCTTCAGGCTAATCCAGAGAGTATTTAGAACACACTCGAGGTGGGGCAACCACCTCCCGGCAGGCTACGTCAGCAGAAAGTTGATTAGTTGCGATGGTATCATGTGATTGATCCTTCCCCTGCACGTTAAATCTCGCCGTTTCTCGGTCTCACCGATCATCCACCTGCACCCAGCCATAAACATGTCAGATGAGATTTATCACCAGCGCCAATGTCAGACTTGCTCGGATCATTTTCCATCAAATGCAGATCTACGTGCTCATATTGAACGATACCGAGTTGGCTACTCCCTCCTATGCTATTGATCATACTAACGGTTTCTCTAGTCAAGGGAACGTGTCTTATTGTCTGCGATCGCTAAATGTCGAGCGCACTCGGCCGACCTCATAGACATATGCGACACAGCACGTGAGCAAACTCATGGCAACGATGACGAAAATGGCGATGCTTGCGAGAATGAGGACGATAACTGTAAAGCATTATGCGCACCGAAGACTGACGAACGGCCCGGACCGTTCAACTGCCCTTACAAAGACTGCAAACGGACGCAGCCATTTGATAAAAAGAAAAAACTTCGGCGGCACTTTGCAATACGTAATTTTGCCCTATTTCCCGGTTACGCAGATTGCTGACATTGAAGTGCAGATGTCAGGTGCGAGGAAGTGTGCGTGTATTGCTTTCGTGTTTTTACCTTCGCAAGTCAATATATTGCGCATGCAGGGAGCCATAAAGAGGCGGACACGGCAAAAGATTCGTACATAGCCCGGATTTGCGACAGGCTCCGAAAACGCGTCGATGACGAGATTTTTTCTTTACTAGGAACGTCTCTGTATCTACCAAATAGAGACCAGGATAGCGCCCGGAAACGATCGATGGAGGTCGCAGATTTGGGCACGACGATACCAGGAGTCCAAGCGAGCATACCAAGGTCAGACTCGTATGGTGTTAATGACGCGATTACGAACGCAGTGTCTCTTGCACCTTTTCATGGCCTCATTGGTATTAGCCCTATCTCTGTTCCATCGCCAGTGCGCTTACAGTTAAGAAGATGCTGGACCTTGTGGCCACTTTTCGACCTCCATGCAATCTGTCACTACTCTTACATCGTTGCCTAACACTGAGGAGCCTGTGGCCGTAAATGATGGCCTTGCGGATGCTTCGGGACCAGCCTTATACCCGAATCCGCAACTCCTGAACGAATCGTACGAAGATTATAGCGCTCCAGTCTTCTGGAACATGACTTTTCCGCCTACGCACATGGCGCAGCAATATCATGGGGGATCAAATGAAATTCATACAAGTATCATGACTTCCCCCCTACTCTCGACAGTCGATCAAACCCAAAAGATGCAAACACAAAGTACACAAGAAAATGATGGAATCGGCTATCAGTATGCGGCATACCAAAACCCATGATATTTACGCGGCTGAACCACGTCATGTTCAAGCTCTTTACTCGAATGCGAAGTTCACGCCGATTCCTGTACTCTCCATTTCAGCGACCTTTCGTGCAAGCACAGGTGACTGTGGAAGAATCATCTTAGCCCATGTCGCTAGTTCATTCTTCGTTGTGAATGCGAAGGTGGTTGCGGACCCTTGTTTGATTTCGAAGGCGAGTCGGGCGTCGAGAATGACTCTAGGAAAATGTCAAGAATGCGAACATCAGGGTCTGCGAGGGGAACCAACAAGCCACCGTTTGTAAATTCAACGTCTTTTCCTTGACAAGCCACGCTTCTCAAAGCTGCAGATGGTATTTCGAACAAGCCATTCGCTGCTCTAACGGTAGGCAACGAGTGTAAATGCGAGCCGCCATAGTATGTCGCTCGAGACCCCTTGCTGAATATATGAACAATTAGAACGCGCAAACCAGCCTTCGTACCGCCCCTTCTAAAAGAGAAGATGTGATCTGGATCTCTTCTGTATCGTAGATAAAGTCCTAGACCGGACCATTCGAAGAAGGATTGGAGGATAGATCGAACACGCTGAAACCAGTCAGAAATACATAATGAGCATTACCGTGATTCACTAACCATATCATCAAGGACTTTCAGCTTGCAGAAATTCAGGCCGTACTCGGAGGCAAGAGCAAAGTCCTCCGGCTCCATCTCGACGTTCCGTTCCGGCTGCTCTGGATCAACCAAATGGTAGAATCCATCCTCAAGAAGAGAGCTCCTTGCGTCCTCAACTGAGAATGGCGCTGGTGCCATGTGCAGGACTATGAGGTGAGTGTTCGCGTTACTGCCCAAGGGGTCAAAGACATGGAACATTTACCAGGAGTGCCCCTCGCCCAATTTCCGGAAAAATATTTTTCCTATTCCACGACCCCTCGATGGATTATAACCACATGCTTTATCACATAATAATAGTGATTAACTAAACCGTGGCTGTGACAAGTTGGTTCACTAGCGAGTGGTCCACTGCAGAGTAACCATACGATATGCCATATTTTTAAAAGGAAAACCTGATTTTCCTATGTACATTTTGGCATAAATACCTTTGCACCAATGGATAAAACAAGTAGATAGATTTGAAACTATGCTGGATATTACTTGGTCATGTTACCATAAAATACAACGTAATCTAGACATTTCAGTGACAGTTACGTATATCCTCACTAATACTTATAGTCACTATCCTTCTTTTGCGTCCGTGGGCTACGAATGCTATTTAGACTGGTCTATTTCAAACTCATATGTTAGATATGTATGGTTGACCGGGTATTAAGTTGTAATTAATGGTATTTTGGGGCGGCCAAAGTTGACGAGCAAGTTAAGTGCCACTGAGTGGTGTTGGCTTCAATTAGGTAGGAGGCCAATCGTAGTAGTTACAAAGAGAAATTCACCATGTATAGGCACTGTTTTAACTCTTATGATGGGGTGAGTGACTGGTCCCTAGGCGCGGGAGATTTGAATTAATCAATTAGTTAACTAATTCCGTTCCTTGAGTTAGTTAGCATCAGTGTATTTTAGGCGCTACACCGTTTGGGGTAAGCGCGTTTCGTATCAGCTTTCCAGGGGCCATGGATTCATGGTCCCTTCTTCCACAGGGATCATGAGATTATGTTCCTATCCCCACACCGTAACAACAAGGAACATAGATACATGGTCCTATTGACGCCCACGCCAACCATACACTGTACTGGTGTGGACATTTGGTCTGATTGAGCGTGCATCATAGAGCCGAAGCATGCAGTTCGATTCTCGTACCTTTGTCCACAGGACGAGATGATTAAGGTACTGGACAAAGTAATGATCAAAAAAGAAGCAGCGCAAATATAAATGGGAGCGACTTCCCGGGGTTATGGCATTCTTGTTCGTATTCACATCAGGGTTTTACTTTCAGATTCAACCTTTCTTCATCATACAAATCAATTCGATCGGCCGAATCAAACAACATGGCACCTACTCAGAGTGGCCGGGATATGCATTCCTTCGAGCACAACATGGCTTTGAAAAAGTCTTTTCCTTGTCACCAAAGCCTGACCCCTCCTGATAGCCCCACTCAGGGGACAGCTACGTCTCAAGCTGTCGTGAAAGACCTGAAGCATCTCTTTGATGTGTTACTTGAAAACGTGCTCGGTTTTACCAATCAAGAGCCCCCAAACACTCCTGTCTCCCAGGACCAGTCCCAACTCGGGCTCGACAATGTTCGACAGGCGCTGGACTGTGTTTCAGCTGAGCTTTCCGTTGTAAGTAAGATTGCTCAGTCTTCTTCTGCAAGCGATGAACGGGAGAGCGTTTCTGGGCCAGATGGGTTTGATCTCGAACATCCCATCTGTACAACACCAAAGGACTTCCAATCATTTGAGAAGTGGGTGTCTAAACCCCGATTTAAAACAGTCAAGGAAACGTATGTCGCCAGCTAAGCCCTCTGACCTAATCAACCCCTTCCTTTTGTCTCTTTTCCCTTTTAAGAAGAGAAATCTGACGCGGGTATAGCTGGGACAAAGAAGCATGTAAATACAAGATTGCCGAACCGATTGAGACCAGCGGTGGTCTGGAAGACTACGCTGAATATGCATTCGTTGTCCGTGAGCGTGTGGGTACGTAATATTTTTACCTAAACGATCGAAACAATACTAATGGTAGTATTAGAGCGGAGTTCCGAGGAGGTGACGCCATACATAGACGTCAAATCGAAAGGCCTACGCGACATCTTGCGCATGGTCCTGCACGGCATCAAGGCCATCAGCCTGATGGAGGACAAGCCATCGGTAATTGAGACAGAGTATTTATCTCCGAGAAGATCGCTGACATTGGTTAGATCGAGCAAAATATCCTTTTCCATTTCCTCCCAGAGCTCGGCAAGTATGCCGAAAATATGGACAACTCGGACTGTGAATTCCCACGTCAGCACCTCCGCTTGCTCATCGACCACCTCAAGCAAGCATATTCAGCCACCTCGCAGCGTCTCGAATCAATGCTGCAGTACGGTCATATTACATATGACCTTCTTTGGGCGCTTTTCAAGCCTGGTTGCCATGTTTATACCACATGCATTGGCACAAAAGAGCCGCGATGTGTCAGATTCGACGCGGGGGAAGAGATGACACAAAATGACGAGACGTGGTGGAATCTCGAGTGCCGATTCTTTGATTATGACGGAGTCAAGTTCGGCGAGACCGGAATGTTTCTGCGTCTGGCAAAGTTCCGGGGGTCAAAGCCGATCGAGAGCCTTGAGGCCTTCCCTCTCCGCTACCATCCAAGGCACGGGCAAGTCCGGAAAGATTTGGTCGAAAGAGGCGAAAAGTTTCGCGATTTGGCCGGCTCACACATTCGGCACTGTAGAGGCAACGCGTTCTTTATGAACAAGGGGAAGGCTATCAAAGTCAACGTCAACAGTCGAGTGGGAGTGGACGCCGCATTTTTTCATGAAATGCAGCCAAACTACTCCCGACCTTCACTCCGCGACCTAGCGGTCAAGGAAAAGGATGGAATTGCAGTTATTAACATAGGTGCGATGCTCAAGGAGGATCGCGAGCGGGAGAAGGAGAGAATGCAAGGAGACGGAGTGGATGCACAAAAACTGAGCGAGACCGATTTCTTGGTCGCCTGCCCAACAGTATGCTGTTTCAGCTTCAAGGAGAAGATTTTCTGTATGTAAGTCTACTGACAATGTTTGGCGTCCGACTAATGTGATTTCAGTGGAGTGCGCAGTCAGTGCTCTTGAAGACGTGGATTGGTCACCTGAGTCGTTCGACTGCTTGAAGATCCCTTTAGAGACCAAGACCATCCTCTTGTCATTGGCAAAAACCCGCCTAGGGATGATACCGATGGTACCGTTCGACGACGTAGTTGACGGAAAGGGCCAAGGATTCAACATTCTTCTGAAGTATGTCGGCGAAGCGTCTATACTATCAAGACTTCCAACTAACTCGTGCTAGTGGCCCACCGGGAGTCGGAAAGACTTTCACGGTTGAGGCAACCTCGGAGTATTTCAAGCTCCCCCTCTATTCGGTATGAACTATCCAGCTCGGCTGATTTTGGCGTCACTGATTTTTTCAGATATCCGCAGGCGAACTTGTTGTAGACCACGGAGATACCAACGCGCTCGAGCAGCAACTTGAAACAGTATTTAAGATCGCGAAACATTTTGATGCCGTCCTTCTCTTGGATGAGGCAGACGCTTTCATGGAGCAGCGTACCTCATACCACGATACCCACAATCGCCTTGTGACCATTTTCCTCCGAAAGCTGGAATATTATCAAGGAATTCTTTTCTTGACGTCCAATCGGGGTATCCAGTTTGATGACGCAATTCTAAGCCGGATCCATTTGACCATCGAGTATGAAAATTTGACGAGAGAGTTTCGCAGAGATCTTTGGTCAATCTTTTTGTCCAAGGCATGTACGATGCAAGGACCTGCCCTCGTTGAGGAGTACGAGCTCCGACGATTGGAGACTTTAACTCTAAATGGACGAGAGGTGGGGTTCCAGAGAGCTGCTGTGCACTTCTCCCTTGTTGACTAACATGATCTAGATCAAGAACATCGCAGCAATCGCACATGCTCTCGCTGAGGCTGACGTCAATCAGGTGACCTACAAATACTTGGAGTTAGCAGCCGATTCTAATAAGAAGTTTTCAAGGGAGTTTGGCAAAAAGAGACCTGTTGATGGAATGTATGTCTAGTACCTACCTGGGAAAGATCCGTGGATTATCTCGTTCCTCAAGGTTGTCGAGCAGTCGATCTCTCATTGCAATATGTTCGATTAGTACTGTACACGACAGTCCAATATATCGTTACTGAAGCTTCATAGTGGAATCAACGTTTTAATATGATTCATCACCTCACACAAAAGTCAAGTACGAGAGCCAGAATTGGACGATCAGTTTGTCATTGTCAACGCATATAGAAGCGGGGTTACTCTTGAGGCAATGTAGGTGAAGTGAAAAAGCGGGCATCAAGGATCGATAATAGGTCGAAGTTCTGGTTTATTCACGAGGATGCGGACTAGAAGTGCTTCATGCTTCATTATCATGCATACTTGAATTGCTAATCCAAAAAACTAAGCACATTGCTTCGCGTTACACAAAGACGTTTTGGATCTCCCATCTCTGGTTGACATAGTTGTCGTTGTACCGCTCGTGATCGCTGCAAAGTCGGTCGACATTTCAATATATACCAGTGAAAGTCGATGATCAATGCCCGGCCAAGTTCTTTATTCCAAAGAAAATTGTCACGCCGAAAATCTTCGTGAGTGATTCCTTTGTTGATTTGCGAATCTCCTGGTGGAGCCAAGGCGTCAAGTCCATCAATGCTATACTTCCCCCACCCTCCCACACGGCCAGCCCATCATGAGCATATGACGAATCTCTCCAGCTCCATAAAGAAAATATATTTCGGCCAAGTCGATCGTGCCCAGGAAAACAGGCACAGCAGACCCTTGGGTTTTCCGTTTGCAGCAGTTGTCTCTTTGCTCGTGGTCTTTGGAGCTGGTCAAAATTCGATTTCCTAGAGGGGTAAAAGTCGATGACTGTTGCCCGTTCGAGCTTTTCATTCCAAAGGACCTTCATATCTCGAAAGACTTTGTAAATGATTCCCAAGGGCCCTTGATTTCCTGATTCGATCTGTGAATTTCCAAGCGAAACCAAGGCGCCAGCTCCATCGACACTGTACTTTCTTCCCTATGGACATCACGAACAAATGATGTAATCTGAAGGTGCAGATGTAAATGACCATGAGCCTAGGGGCCGTCATGTGCATACAGCAGTTGAGCTGGATAGGAGCCTTTGTCTGCTTTTCTCTTCCCCAACGCGATGACCATGC